AATAAGGATGATGGAGATTGCATTGCGTATCCCGCTGGGTTTTGGAACTGAAGAAGCGAAGCTGCAGCTTTTGCGGGATCAATGCCTCTCATGTCTTGAAGTGCAGCTGCAGCCATCGCTTGGTAGACGTCGTTTTGCATACCAAGCAATCCCGAAGCATCAAGCCTCGGCTGCATCCACGGGTTTACTCCCATACCTTGAAAGTTTAGAGATTGGAGTCCTCGATCCCACATAAGTGGTGAACTCATACTCATACCCATGTCGTCTTCTTTAAGACCTGCAAACACGAGAGAGACACCAAAGATTACAAGATGATAAAAACTTTTAAGGGACGTATCAAGATTTAAAAATTCTTAATACCATGGAAAGATGGGAGACCAGGAGGCCAAGGACGTTTAAGCCTGAGAGGAAAAGGAGACGGGTACATTGGGAATGTCGTTAAAGGCTCAATCTCCCACAAGGAAACCCTCGGTTGCCTCTCTCCTGCAGTAGACTCGTCCCAGCCCACCTGCATTTTGATCAAGATGATGTTATATGTATACCGAGACTATTGAATATTTTTTACTAAAGCTTTGGTTATTAAACAAACCTTGACAGACCGCCAATGCGAATTAGCCCACCGAGTAGGATCTAGATCACATATGCCAGTTATTGTACCCATGTACCTGACAAATAACGAAGATTCTTGAGGACATTTCAAATGCTAAAAGCAGAGTAATAGATAGAAATTTGATAATTCACCTACCGACGAACACTTGATTCTTCAGTTTCAAACAGCATCCTAAACCGCATGCCAACAGAGACACGAGTGTGATACACCGCTTTCACGTATTTAGCCAGAGGTATAACGAACTCTGATGGACTTGCCCTGAAGAAAAAGTGAATTCTTTATCACGAAATGCAAAGAAACAACAAATAGGTGCCTTCATAGGGGATCTAAAACCGTACCTCGGGTTATAGAAGATGGTGAAGCGACTGTTTGTAGCGGCTGCATGAGCTGCCGCAGCAAGAAGGCCTAAATGCATACTGTCACTTGATAAAACAGATGAAGGCATGACAGTTTGTGGCCGGTTGGCTCGTCTTATTCCAAGAAGTAACTGATTCTTATCGTTCCTAGTGTTACAAATACACAGTCAGTTTCAATATTCACAAGTACTATTAATAAAAAGACAAAATTTGAAGAAATGTTTCTAACCAGATGAAAAGAACAGAGTCACCAGCGACAAGCCTTTTAGCACTAACAAATACGCTCCAACCAGTAGTAAGGAGGTGTCTCTTAGGTTGGCCTGAAAGGGGTAGAACAAATACAGAGTAAATAAAACCTCTTCATTCTTCTTCAGTAACAGCTAAAGAACTTCAATTTTCGTTCGGTGAAAAAGCTAACCTCGGAAAATATGCCTGAACTTCCATTCGTTATCGTGCAGATCCCTCGCCATCAACTCTTGAGCTGGAGGCTGCTGAGTGTAATCCTGAAAGAACACGAAAACATCATCATCTGGTTAAAAGAAGCTCATAGCTTGAGATTCAGACAAAGAGACAGAGGAAAAGGATGAATTACCAAAGGAGGGAAAACTTTCTCAGCAGCTCGGCGAGGTACAGAGAAACCTCCATGAGTGCTAGTATCACTAGCAGTCAGAGTTTTACAGAAATAGTTTGTAGGTTGTCTACTCGGAACACCTAATTCCGCAGGAAGGTAAGGATCCTTTTGCTCTTGCTACATTCAAACAAGAAAAAGACTCGTAACACCGACAAAATTTCCAAATCAAAAGTATGGATTACAGGGACAAAAAAGTCACTCATACCGCATTCAACGGTTGCAAAGTCATTTGTGCATAGACTTCATCAGTTTCAACATCAGCCTGAAAATTTCAAAAGAAACCATATTCCTAATTACATAACACAGAAACAGAGAAGATATACCATAAATAAACAAGTTTCTCACATGCATTGTGACATTGTGAAGTTGACAGATAAGTTGAGGATGCAAGCTAGGGTAGTTTGGTATATGAGCATCCACTTCTTTGTTAGTCGAAGCAGCAACCTAAAAACCACACAAAAAAAAAAAACTTCTCAGAAACCAAAAGAAAAAAAAAAACAATCTGTTAAAGAATTCAAAGAAGCATAAGGGGAAAGAAGACCAAAAAAAAAAAAAAACCTGTTCACTGTGACCTTGAGGGAAATACACAACTCTGCTTCCAACAGGAGGTAAAGAGACAAGAGGACCAGCACAAGCATGCCATAGCTCAGAATTAAGAACTCTTTTCTCACCTGTAACAACAAAATCTCCAAGAAAATAGCAAAGTGTGTTAATAAGTAATAGAGACAGAAAAGGGAAAGAAAACAAATTTTGAAGAAAGTGATTACCTTCATGAGGTTGAGGATTAAACCCAGAAGTAGACAATCTCATTTTTTGTTATTTAAAAAGCAAACAAAAAAAAAATTCTTCAAAGATCCAAGATTTTTTTTTTTGTTCTCTCAAGATGCCCAAATGTAATTATGAGAAGGAGACACTAAAAGCATTAAACTTTTTTATTTTTAACTGTTTCCTTCCACCTCCCACCCATTCACCAAACCAAATCTCATCCAAAAACCCT